CTTCACGTGTCTAAACCTAAATATGGCGAAGGGTTTAAAGTAGGGTGAATACTAGCTAGACGTATATTTTTAAATATTTTTAAAAAATTAAAATTTTTATTGCGATTTCCGACCCCCCCCCGACTTAATTAAACTTATATATAATAAAATATATTAATTAAAACAATTAAAAAACTATTGGAGGTCGTTTTTGACATCAGAAACTAGCTTTAAATAACTTTACCAAAGTCATATCTGTGCACTACAACTTTAGAACGATTAATTAAATTTGATAAACAAATCCCATTAAAAACAATTAAGCCTTAATCAAGCCTTATCAAAGGCTACTTATCAAAGTCTAATTAAAACCTCGATAAAATTTTTTTGCGAGGGCAAAAATTTTTATAAAAATTTGGAGACTTAAAAAGCATTCCAAAAATAAAAAAAAAAATTGTGGGCTGAAAGGACCGCATTTTTGTATTAACTAATTAAGTTTCAAGTTTAAATTTAAAAAATAAATTTATTTGTCTAGGATTTATAAATTATTTTATAGTAACTCTTTAAAAAATATGTATATATAAATACTTTTGAAATAATTCATTGTATTGATTATATCTTATATTTGAAAATTTTATTGTGACGTTTATTTTGAATGTCATATAATACTGTACGTTGAAATATTCATAAAATTATATATTCATTGCAATTGTTTGGTCATTGATAATACAGTATCTGAAACTAGTGCTAAATGCAATATGGCTTATTATGTTTTAATTAAACATTTTATTTAAAAATCTGTTCATGTCTTAAAGTATGCTAAGTTATAATAATATCATACCATTTGATTAGCCAGTAGTCGCTGGCACTTGTAACGGATAGCGATATTATTAGCATAGATAAAATAACGATCTTGAAGAAAAGTCCTGCTCCGGCATCCACGTATGATTTATAGACTGAAATTCCTGGTTTCTCAACTTCTTCATTGTCGCGTGGTATTTGGTTATTTTCAGCTTCCTACGAAAAATAATTAAAATGTATATATAATTATTCGTTGATTTTTCTTAAATCTGAAGCAGTATTATAATAATATTTTCGAACCACAAGAATCTAGGATATAACTTTTTCTAATATAAAATGTAACTTTTTCATATAACTGGAAATCAGATGTGTTATTGTTAATTTCTATATAGAAACCAATAAAACTGTTCTTTTTTTTTATCATTAGTTCCTAATATAGTAAAAACATCAAAAATTGTAAAAGAAAATATAAGAAATATATCTGAACAAATATTATTATTAACGGTCGAAGAATGAAAAACACAGTAAATGTAAAGACGAAAATCGGTAAAGACTGAGAGAGATATTTCCTTGTTGTTGCTTTTTTGAGTAGATTTTAAAGTATTCTAACTTTCACCTTGTTTTTAAAATTTAACTTTTTAGATTTTAAAATACACAGATTTTATTGTTTTAATATTTAATGAATATTTTTTTCTTTTATATATAAAAGTAGCTGCAAGGACCCGCTTTGGTGGGCAAAAAGTAACGATAGTGAAAATTAAGATAATTACATCATAGCCAATCTTACCCGTTTTCACAAAATGCAAGAATTAGGTCCTCCGTTTCCAGACTAATTAAAGAATTTTTACATGAGTCTAAAAATATGTTCGGTTTCCCGCAAAAACGCAAAAAACCGCCTGTAAATCTTGCATGCCGCTTTATATTAACACTTCCTTTGTTACTCAACACTTCCATTGTTAACACTTCTATTGTTGACACTTTCGTTGTTCGAAGTCAACCACTTTCAACCCCATATGCAAGAATAGGTCCCCCATTTCCAGAATAATTAAAGAATTTTCACGTCCAGTCAAACGAACTATTTTTAATTTGATCAATTTGCTGGAACGTTTACAATCGTTTTATAATCGAACCAATTCGAACTTAAACTCGAATTTAAAACGGTTCGAACATTTTTAAAATCGAAATAGAAAATCTTCGAACTCAACCACTTTAATCCCCCATATCTCCCGCACCCTTAGAGCTGTCGAGACGCATTACCATAGTGCACGAATGGAGACTTGGGGCTACTATATATATATATATATGTATAAATGAACGCGTGTGTCCCTATATTTCACTTTTTCATCAAAACTACACATCGCACATGAATGGTGTTTGTATGTGGTAGTAGCCCCAAGTCTCCATTCGTGCACCAGGGTGGTTGCGTATCGAAGCTTTAACGGTGCGGGAGATATGGGCTTGAAAGTGGTTGAAAGTTGTTCTCTATTTCGAATTTTATGTTCAAATTTGTTCGAATTTTATTCGAACATAAAATTCGAATATTGGTTCGATTATAGAACGATTGTAAACGTTACAAAAACGTTGAAAATAGTTCGTTTGACTGGACGTGAACAGGAGACGTTCNTTGTTCGAATTTTATTCGAACATAAAATTCGAATATTGGTTCGATTATAGAACGATTGTAAACGTTACAAAAACGTTGAAAATAGTTCGTTTGACTGGACGTGAACAGGAGACGTTCAGACATAGAATCGGGACCAGGTCTCTAGTCACTCTAGAAATAGGGGGCGTAATTCTTGCATTCTGTAAAAACGGGTAAGATTGGCTATAATGTAATTATCTTAATTTTCACTATCGTTACTTTTTAAAAACCCAGCGAAGCGGGTCCTTGCAGCTAGTATATATATATATATATATAAACAAATACTTTCGACATTTCAAAATGTTATCATCAGGCAAATGTCAAAAGTATTTACTTGTAGTTAAATATATATACAGATAAAATTTTTCGTACAATCACTTTAGAGCTCCTCATTCCGAAACACAATTTTCAGAATTATTTCTTAAATTGAACAGAATTGTAAATCCTGGCGCTCACAGAATATAACAAAACGCAATATTAACTTCTGGAAATTCTTAAAGCATAAAATTTATTATATCTTAATACAGAACTCAGCAGGTACACACCAACTCACGAAATTTCGCGAATGTTTTCAGCTCGTTTTCTGTTAAATTAATGTAGTTTTTATGCAGCTGAACAATTTCAGAAAAACTTTATCGTTGGTTTCCTGACAAGCTGTATTTTCTTATAATGTAATCGAGATGTGTTTCTAATGATAATAATAATAATAAGCGCAGAACTCATACGGTTAGGAGTTGAAAGTTGAAATTTGGTACACAGGATATGTCACGAGAATGTAGAGTAAGAAGTGATTTTTCGAAATTCTCCTCTCACATGGGAGAGGGAGAGAACTAAAATATATCCTAAAGAATTCAGCTTCTACTATACTATTTTAAATGCGACTTTTTTTTTATTTTCAACCGCGTTATAGTAGAACATGCCATGAGAAATGAACTAGACGAATAAATTTTCAAAAATTTCAGAGGAAAGAGGATGGGAAAGTAGTTTTAGTTAGTATAAAGTGTAAATAATAAAAAAAGAAAAAAATAGTGTATATATATATTGGCAGTTAATAAATATTTTATGTATTTTCATTATTCGGGCAACCAAAAAACAAAAATTCGGTAAATAAATGAATTTGAACGAATATGAATTCGTTTAAAATTCGAAATATAATGTTTCAAACAAGTTTTTTTTCGGAACATTGTTGTTAGGATCATCCTATTCAAGTAAAGATTAAAATTTTTCATTAATTTCACATTAATAATAGATACTAAAATGCAAATAAATATCAAAATAAGTTACGAAAAGTGTATTTGTTATTAAATGAGCGAGTACTACCACATTTTTTGATTACTATACAAAGAGATGAAAACTGACTGTTTTCGAGCATAGCGTAGGTTGCATACTGTACTGCCTCGGATCATTTAAGATTAAGAGATTTTGAACGATGGATTTTTGAAATCATTTTGTATGTTTGATGTATTTTATATTTTCAAATTAAAATATTTTCTGTTGCTTCAGTAAACAATAAATTTATAAATATACGTTTTGTTTATTCTGTTACAAAATTTTGAAAGTGTTATTAAAAATTCATAGCCATTATAGATTATACCTAATTTCCTCGGTCATAAATAAAAAAGACCACAATATTTATGCAGAAAATACAGTTTTCTTAACATCATTAATCTTTTATTTAATTCTTAAAAAAGATCATGTAAACTAGTATATTTTAAAATTTATATTGTATTGGTCATGATTTAAAATTGTGAGACCCCGAGCTATTATTTATAAAATTTAACAATTGTGTTAAATTTATACTGTTTAACAAAGCTAAAATCCACGAAGTTAAAATCAAGTTCATTACATTTTGTTTCTTGATAACTCTTCTTTTCGAATTGCTTCCTCATCCGTTGAGTTTGATTTACCCTAGGAAGTTCAACAAAAAACAATTCTAGGATTGAGTAATAATTTCTTCATCCGATTTTTTTGAAATTTGGTATGTCCAAAGACAAGGGAAACAAAAATACAATAGAACGTCGATTTTCCGAATCAATTGGGGACTGGGTTGTTCGTATAACTGATATTTCGGATTACCGATTTATGTACGAAAAATTAGTTTAACGTATCCGATGTTGAAATTTTTCTCCGTTGCGTGTCACTTCGCTTTGAATTTTCGTCGATGTTAAGCCTAACAAAGACTATTGTATCGTTAAAAATTATTTTTTTATTTTGTACAAACAAAATAAATATTTTGAAAATATAAAAACAATAAAAAATTATACTTCAGATGTTAATTTAGTATCAAAAAAGTAAAATATTTCAGTAGTCCAAGACATAGCCAAAGATTGAAGCGCCACAGCACTGGCGAAAATTTAAATTTGCCGACTGGAATTCTTTCGGATGATTGACGTTTCGGATGACTGACTTTCGGAAAATTGACGCACTACTGTAATATAAACAGGATGTATATAGATATCGAAAGTTCCAATTTGAGATCGAAATTTTCATGAAGATTCCAATGTTACATCTTCCCAAGTTATGCCAGCATATCACTGGAACTGCATCTTTTTCATGTGCTATTGATTTATATATTTGCCAAATTAGCTATCCACGAAAGGAACGAATCAACGAAGGAACTCCTCGGCATAGTTATTTTAGAGAATTGTATCGATACGAAATCAATTTGTAATCTAACTTATTCAGAGATAGGGGCTTTTGTAGAGGTAATCGTTAATAATTTATATTGTAGTAATTTCACATACTAGCAGGTAAACTCTGTGGATAAATCTAGTTTAGATATAATCTCTGCTTATTGTAGTGTACCTCAATAATCTCTTAAGCTTAAAAAAATCTTTATTGTTTTGTATTATATTCGTAGAAAATTGAATCATTTCTGGTTCCCCGCCTGAAATTTTTCCTTTGGTCTCAGGCCAGTAGTTCCCACATACGCGAAAGCTGGGTCGATCCGGCTTTCGCGTATGTGGATCCGGCGCTATAACACGAGTTCTTGTATCCCAATTGAATTCACAAGTAATGTGAGATCTTTACCCAGGAGGCGTTTTTTATTCCTCTCACAAAATTATGGCTCAGCCATTAAAACATTAATGCTAATAGAAATATAAAGATTAAAGATAGAAGTATTATCCAGTGAAAACGTTTTTAAATCGTTTATAACAATTAATCTATATCATCAAATAATTTTTGTTGTAATTAGAAATTATTTACGAGAAAAAGTTAATAAAATCAATATTAAAAAATTAAAACTGCATAACATCAGTTATTTTACTGTGTTAATTTTTACTGAGATAATAGTCTAATAAACAAGTAATCCTTACCGCATCGCCGTGGTAACTGTCTACAATGTGATTATTTACTTCAGATTGAGTGATTCCGATTATTTCCTCATCATTGAAAACCACAGTCTCTAAATCCATGCTATTTTTAGCGATTTCTTCCTTTGGCAAAATTCCTGTAAGCATTTCTGAATTTTCCAATACATTGAAATTTCCAATGAATTCACATTTTCCCTGAAATTTAAAAACACAACTTCGCAATTGCTTTTGAATTTTTAATATATAAATATGTATGCAGAAAAAGTTCTGATTTGAAGATGTATTACGTTTTAACTAATGTATACCGAGTTTATCGGAATCAAATGTATTATTTAGTAATGTTTACAAATGCAATTTTAAACTGCAATGCAAATTCTATTTTGCATTCAGTGCCACGTATAGAAAGTGAATACAGTATAACTGTTTTCAAACTCAGAAGTGTCAACCATATATAATTCACAATTTTACAGATTTTCGTAACGTGTTTATCCTGGAAAAATCATTCTCTAGAAAACAATTTTTCCTAAAAAAATTTTTTTCTTCATATTGTTCATAGATGTCATCATATGATGTCTATATATAGCTTTGTTGTAATGGTTTTTTTAATAGTGCAGTCAAATTTATAATGATTAATTATTACTATTCTTTAGTTTCTTAATATATATTTTGTCCACTTGGACATGAATTATTAGTGCGACATTTGTACTGGTTTTCTAAGTTTTACTCAAGAATTGAGTAAAAACTTAGAAAACCAGTATAAATGTCCTATTAATAATTATTATACAAGTAGACGAAATATATATTAATTACAATGGTTAATTTTAATCTGAACTTCATACTGTTTAAATTCATGTTTTCTTAAAATAAATTATAGTGTTTTCATTACTGTAGAAAATGATTTATAAAACAAAACCTAATAAAAAAATATTCAGGTATTTACCTTCTTTAACACTAAAATTTTACTAGCAGAATTTAGAAATTGTATTTGATGCGTAACGAGAACGCAAATCTTGTCTTTCAGATATTCCATTATACATCTGAAAATAAACAAAGAATTAAAATATATTAAAATATACAAAAAATATTTATTTAAATATTTACTTTTCGAATATATGTTTTGCTACTGGCACATCAATTTAAATTATCCAATCACAACATAGATAGTTGCTCTGAAAAATATAATAATATAAAATTACCGTTAAACGCAAGTTAAGCATTACATCGAATTTACAATTAATTTTACAGAATGTTATCTCTAGCGTAAGTGTTTTCTAATCTTTATATTTAATTTCGTAATTCGTGAAACTATGTAAGAGTAACGAAAATTTTTCAAATTTTCGAAAATTTACCGTTTTCCTAATAAATGAAATTTTCCGTGTGGTACTTTATCAGCTAAAACAGGGAAGTCAGGATCATATAGGAGAAGAAACACGATGCCCCTACTACTAGGTGTCAAAGTAACAAATCAGAGATAACATTATCTCAGAAAAAATTTCTATTTATTCTTAACTTTACATTATTTACAATTCTCATAAGGCCCTGCTCTGTAACGGTGACAGGAATGTACCTCAAAAAATTTAAAAAAACATTTCTAAGCAGTGAAACGAAGTACCGAAATGAAACAAAAAGCCTAAACTGAATTTATAGTATCATAACTTTTGAATCCGAAATAATGAATTTAAAAATTTTTGTGTTAACAATTTTTTCATTATACATGATCAGATACAGAATATGAGGATTACGAACATTCGTGAATGAATTCGGAAAAATGTACCGAAATAATGCGAATAACTCTGAATTAATGGTGGTGAGCATTTCAACGCTAGACAATAGCAAATTAACCGTATATCATTATTTCAAGTTTTAAGTATCAGTATAGATGTTACCGCTGAAGCTCGAAATCCGTTAATGTGCACATTAACTAGGGTAATCCGTTAAAGTTGCTAAAATTGTTCTATTTCTCAAATTACCTAGGTAATGTGCACAGTATCTAGGTAATCTGCACATTACCTATTAGGCACTCGGTAACTTGAAAATAAGATTTTTGCTTGAACAACAGCAACGTTTCTGTACGCTTAAATTAACATAATGTTATTTATTTAATTTTCAATATCTAAAGAATCAAGTTGATACAATCAACAAATTAGTTGATTGAATCAATCATCAATCAATTAAAAAAACTTTAATACAAAAATCAAACGGTTTAAAATATTATTACTATTAGGGAAATAAATTTGAAAAAAAACGATTGATAAAATTGTACTTACTTATCAGTGCAATCTAAAGATTGGTGACACTTTGAATTACATAGCAATTGGTTTTTGCGACCAGCACGCCTATTTGTGGGACATTTAGATTTGCAGTCACATTTTCTGAAACCCTGCCCAATACCAAGAGATTGTTTTATTGCTGTTTGACGTAAAGATAATTCTATAGCAGAGATATCCATCTTTTTTCGTTAAAAATCTCTCTTTGCAAACACTGAATTCAGATTTTGCATACAATTGTTTTAAAATACCTGTTTTATTATCAAGTTTATAAAAGTCATCCTCTGTTTTACTATTTACAGTGTTTATTATTACAGTGCATCTGGCTTATTCCTTTTAAAATTGTATTGTTATGTTTGTAATTTTAAAAATACAATAATTAAGAAAAATCGATCTTACCTTGCTAAATTAATTCTTGCCTTTTGCCCACCGCTCATCATGACACCTCGTTCTCCTACAATCGTCTGATCTCCTTTCGGAAATAATCTAATATCCTACAATAAATAAATGCTAGACGTTTAAATGAATTTCTTGACAAGTCACGTTTAGTTTGAATAAAATTTGAATAAAATTTTTAGTTTGAATAGGGCCTACCCTATTCAAACTAAAAATGACTTATAAAGAAATTCATTGAAACGTTAGAAAATATAAATTAATAGCGAGGTTGAGGCCGATTTTAAACGCGAAAACGTGTACGGCGGACGTTCAGCGCCGCTTTTCCCTGTTAGCCTAGAAGTTTGAAAATAGTGTTTAGAATGGCGAGCATGATTCCATTGATTATACGAACACCATTGTCAAACTTGTAGGCTCATACAGGACAGCGGCGCTGAACATCCGACGTACACGTTTTTGTGTTTAAAACTTTGGCCTCAACCTCGCTAATTACAAGTATTACAAAACGTCATTAATATACATTCGTTTCTATAGAAGTTAGCAAAGAGTTGTCAAAATGGAATAAAACTGTACGTTGTGAATGCAATAGAGACATACGTAAGAGACTACAAAATGAAAGCAAAAAAAAACATTTATCGTAGGAATACGTGCAAACGAAAAAATGTTATAGTAAGTACACTGTTAGGCCACCTCTAGCGTGAATACACTCTGTGATGCAGGAGGACATATAAGCATATGAGTGCTGTGTGATGTTTGGTGGTATCTTGCTCCATATTTCTTCCAAGTAATTCACGAATTTAGTAAAATTCATGCACAATTTAATATTACATTCCATTAGATATGTTCAATCGATGACAAATCACGAGATCGTGCATGCCAGGAAAGTGTGGAATATGTCAAAAGCAGTCACTGACACTATTGTCGTGTGTATTTTCGAAAATTTTACTGTTGGAAAATGGCTCTTGGATACAGTGTTGCCGTTCCTAGTACATTTGTACTTTTCTGGTACATTTTGCCCTTTCCAGTAAATTGAAAGTACTGTACATTTAGATTTTTAGTACATTTTCAGTACATTATAATATTTCAAGTACCATTTACGGTACAAATTAATATTTCACGCCTTAACGAAAAAATGAGAAAAAATTAGTTTAATAAAGTCTCACTAGTGTCACTGCTTGCTAATTTAAATTATCCAATCACAACATACAAATGGTGTGTGTCCGTCGACGTCAGCAACATAGATAGTTGCACGTGTAAACGGTCTTGACTCAGTGGTCTTCTTTCACACGTTCAGTTGTCTGCACATTCTCATCAGGACCTTGACAAAATTTTTCATGCCACGTGGTCCAAACAATTCAACTCCGTCAAACAAAAATAATGGACAGGTAAGGAAATCAATGATTTTAAACTTTTGTCGTCAATAATATCAAAATATCCGTTAAGTCAGAATCAAATTATTACAGAAAATAGTTTTGAAATTGTACGAGTATAAATAATATAAATACTTTTATATTATTTTCTACCACTATAATTTAATTCTTAAATTATGAACTTCAATTTTAGTAATCGTAGTAAAAGAAATAACGGTTAATGTTACGTGTGGTTCCAAAATGGCCGCGCTTTCGACTGTTCCAAGGTCTATATAAGAAGGCCAGGACGCGTGATTTACTTTTTGAGCCGCCATTTTGGTTTTTTTTTTTTAGTCGCATGTTTTAAGCAAACAAGAATATAATAATATAATATAACAAATTTACAATTATTCTTTTAAAGCACGATTGGTTATAAAATTAAGATGAAATTCAATAGTATTATTAATAAATGTTGTCAATGTAATGCTCATTTTATAATAACTAGTAGATGTGTAGATATTTATAAATAGCTTTCAAAAAATTCCAAAAATAAATTTTAAATTAAATTATCTGACAATAAACTATATATACTACGTGTCTATGCCTATATATATATAGGCACGTAAACAAAGTATTCATAGAACTAGTACATTTTTAAGAAAAATAGTACATTTTTTGAAGGCGCTTCAGTACGTTTTGAAATTTCATAGCGGCAACACTGCTTAGATACCCTGTCTTAAGAGACAACAATGTGGCTGCAGGATGTCACAAACACAATGCACGGCTTTGGTGGTCTCTTGAATCGCTACTAGGAGTGGCTGGCTGTCGTGACACCCAGACTATCATATCAGTTGTAGGGCAATGTGCTGCACAAAATGTAGGCAGGATTAAAGAGTTCAACACATGCCCTGCAGACATAAACACGGCTGTCGTCAGTGCTGAAATTGAATGTAAATTCATTGCAGTAGACGACCAGTAGGATGGTGTCAATTTCAGTTCATCTCACAGCGGCCGTAATACCAAATGTTTCTTATCCTGGGACTTCAAAATGGTACTGAGAGATGCAGAGTCCCGTAATAATGGTTACACCCGTGCCTGGATGGTGGACAACAAAGCGGTCGGCCGCAAGTGTGTTTGTCTTTTGATTGGGGTCACGCTCAAGGCACCTTCTCAGACTAGTGGTCTGCGAAGGTGCCTTGAGCGTGGGATCTGTGTTTACCTGCTCTCTCTTGTTTACTGGTCCTAGCAATTTTTAACAGTGTTTTTTGAACGGTTTGGATGACTGGCTATTCGACAAGTTAACCATCTGGCTTTTTTGCCACGATGATTTTTCCTTCTCATACTTGGTTAGTTGTTCAAATTGTCTTTGATTGTGACGTAAAAGCTGCTCTAGTGATACAGAACTTTTTCAACAGAAGAAGTACAGACAGGATGTATTTGCACTTTTTCTATACGACAAAATAATGCACTTTAACGATCTCTGCTGGCATTACACAATGAGCCATCATGCTATACCTGTAATACTTTTCATATGTTTTTGTGAGTTATCCGCATACCATATTTCGTATCGATATGACAACAACTTGGAAAGCGAAATCTTATAGCAACGAGTGTATTAATTCCCCTTTATACTCAAGCTACAGTGCCACATTTCGTTTCTTAAACTTTACCCATTCTGAGATATTGTTTAATATCTCAGAACAGAAAATAAAGAAATTAAACAAATTAGACGCCAAGTTACACGGGCGCGAATTTTTCCCCTTCTATTGATTTTTTGAAGGATTCGGGAGGTCTCCAAACGTGTAGATTTGCAAAAGAAAAGAAAAAAAAGTTGACGGGTCAAATTTGACGCGATTCCAATACTTTTCCGTTTTATATACATAACAAGTGATGTTGATTAAAGAAAAAAAAAATGGAAAGCTTTAACAGTCTAAAACAATGAGTGAAATGAAGGAAGAAAGCCAAAGATTCACCGAGTTAGATAGATGTGTAAAGAAAAGCTGTCAGAAAGACAAGAAGGAATTGTTAGAACGAAATGGCGCTAAAGCGCAGGAGGTTTCCGACTGAAATAACTCAAAGACTCTGTACCGCATAGTCAATGAACTGACTGAGATGAAAAATCACCAAAAATTCTAATAAAACATAAAAACGAGACGCTTCTGATAGCCCAAGATGAGCAGAACAACAGGTGGATAGAAGATTTTCGAAAAACATTTAATCATGCGGAACCGACCATCATACATTATATCGATATTGAGGATACACAGTGTAAGCTTCAGATGGACACTGGTGATATTAGCCTTGAGAAAGTACCGTGTTTCCCCGAAAATAAGACATCCGCAGAAAATAAGACCTAGCACAGATTTTGCTGAATTGCGAAATATAAGACCTCCCCCTGAAAGTAAGACCTAGCGAAGTTTTTTTTTAGTCGTAACGGTCATCGACAGATGGTTGAAAGTGGCCGTTGGCTTTTTGAAAGTACAGCCACTGATTGGTCAGCAGACAATTACGCCACACGGCATGATTTGCATAAGACTATGGCTTGGGAATCACAGATTTGCATAACGTTACGGCTGGTGATGGCTAATTGGTCGGCCGGGAATCACGCCACATGACATTTGCATAGTGCTACGGTTCAGTAAGCACTAATTGGTCATCGAGTCCGATGTTGACGCTATAAAAAGGCGACAGTTCGACACACCGGATATCTGTCACTCTGGTCTAAGTTCAACTTGGGAATTTTTTTGTTCAATAATAAATGTGAATTCTTCTTCCTGGAAAAAATAAGACATCCCCTGAAAATAAGACCTAGCGCATTTTTTCAGAGCAAAAATTAATATAAGACACTGTCTTATTTTCGGGGAAACACGGTAGTACTTGCGATTCAAATTCTATATAGCAGTGCAGCCGATTCTGACGAAATTATGGCTGAGGTTTCGCAGCATGAAGAGCAGTCCATGTTGGAAAAGTTATCGTTATTGTTTAACAGGGACTGGTATTGTGGGGAGGGCCCAGAGGATCGTTATAGTCATAATTATAGAGAGAGAGAATATCTCCAAGTGTACCAACTGGCAATGTATTAGCCTCCATTCTGTGCCATGAAACGCATTTTGTGGTTCACTTTCGACGCCTGCGGATTTCCCTCGATCAACGATTTAAAGAGAAGCAAGTTGGGTTTTGCTACAGAAGATCGTTCAGCAGCAGATCTATCTTGGAAACATCATCGAACAATGCATTGAGTATCGGCACCCATTTGCCATGAATTTCAATGATTTCACGAAGTCTTTTGATAGTGTTCACTACTAGCCCCTCTAACAGATCCTGAAACTATATTGTGTACCGACAAACATTTTCATTATTTTCAAAGTTTATAACTGCATTCAAGTTGTTGCGTCAAGACTGAAGGTGGTCAAACAGACTTCTTTGAAATTATGACAGGAGTCAAGCAGGTTCGTGTTCTGTTCCTTTTCCTTTTCCTCATCGCCCTTGATTATGTCATGTGGCAGGAAGAAGTGTCCGATGTGTGCATCGAGTGGTCTGTCCAGGACAATCTAAAAAATTTGGTTTTTGCTGATGATATTGCCTTGTTTGAGGAAAGTAAGACAATGCTACAACAGGCATTGGGTCAGAAGGGACACAAAATTGGCATCAAGATAAACGACGTGAAGATAATTGATATTTAGATCCTATCATCAATGAACAGGTTCTTCGGAATGAGATGTGCAAACTTCATAACTTTGTCGCCCATAGAAAAATCTTTCTGGCTGGCCACATTTTTTCTTTGCAGACCAATAGGTTCACTAAGACAGCCATGAAATAGGTTCCCCTGATACCAAACGACTAGGAGAACACCCCTGGAATACTTAGCGTAAAACATTTTTCAAGATTAGAAAATGCTCAATATGACCTGGAAGGAGGATGAAGCCCTCGCCTATGATCGAAATCGATGTAAGACAATTGCTGTCTCAGTATGCTACTTAGCATTGGAAGGACTACTACTACTACTAATACTACTACTAATACTACTAATACTAATACTATTACTACTACACATTGCACTATTAATACACATATTGCACTGATATAGTAATTAATGTATTTAAAATCGCTACTTTATTAATATTTAACAGAAACCCATTAAAATATAAAATCTAAATACATCATTTGTACTTTCTAATAATTTAAGTTCATAAACCAGGGCATGTTTCTAAGAAAAACACGCGATACAATTGACTTGTAATGTAATTGTATTGTGATACATAACAGATCATTTTCGTATCACCTTATAGTTGATAAACAAATTTTCGTCCTGAACCGACGTAAGTACGCCAAAGTTTTAATAATTAAGCATAAATTATCTTACCTTTTCTAAAGCAGTGATATGCAAGATTTTTCTATATTTGTCTTCGTGATATTCTTCTCCGAACAAGATATTTTCCTTGACAGTTGCGTTGAATACCCAAGCTTCTTGAGAAGCATACGAGATCTTTCCTTTTACAGACACTTCACCAGAAGTAATTGGAATCTCTCCCAACAAGGACATTAATAAAGACGTCTAACGAAATGAATGTCATTTAATTATTTAATACGAGATGTTTTTCATAAATAGTATAATTATATAAATATTTTAGAAATATTTAAGTATTATTATAAAAATATTATTTCAATTATCAATCGCTTTTCTTTATCAGCACATATAATGCAATGGATGATTAAACATATTTTGTCAATTTAAATGAAACACTGACAAATTACATTTATTAATTAATTAATCAATAAAATTTTATTACTGCCTACTATGATTTATCCTATTAGTAGTAGGATGTATTATACTGTTGTTCGTGTCCTGTGAATCAAGAAAACTTATTAAAAACAAACAATCCTTATTTTTCATTTGTTTCACCTGTACACACTCCGTTTGTTCCGGACCACTTGGTCTTTCATCTGCAAGTTATTTTTTGTAATTTTATAAAATCTTGTTTTAGCACCTAGTGACTGTAAATCTACTCATGAGGGACCAAAAAGCCTGAAACACAAATATACTCAGCCGATTGCAGAGATAACGTTTAAACACTGACGGCAATTTAGTGATCGTGTAGACCCCGGTTTAGAAATCTTTCTTTGCAGAGACGGCATATCTCGCTTGCCAGAGTTTAACACCGATTAGAAACAAGTTATTTGTTCTACTTTTTGTACTCTCTTGATAGCTATATTATTTGAGTAGAAGTCGCCATATTCATTTGTTGTTGGCAAAGTTTACGTTACATTGAATATTTTTCATGTAATAAATAGAGACGAATCAAGAAAATTACTCATTTCGAAAATTACAAAAAGAGAAAAAAATCGTCATCGGAATAATTTTTTAGAAATATATTCCGAAAACGAAATTCGAATTAGATAGAAAGTTTCTAAATATGGATTCGTATTTTAAATTGTTAGGTTGGCCGGAGAAATAGAATACAGTTATGATTTGTATAACGCTTACTCGGTTACCAGTTATTAAACTAGTCTTCTGTTTTTCAAAAAGGATAGTTTTACTACTAAATATCGAGTGTGGACGGACTTACGCTGCTAGTAAAAATGTGAAGACAATGATTTCACAATTGCGTCTCCTGTCAGGATGTTGATATCAGTTAATCGTATTGTAGAGCGGATAAACACGCGTACAGATAGGAGTAAAAAGGGTCCGAATTTTAGTAGGACTTACGTTCATGTAACTGGGGGTGCATCGATATGAATGACATCATTGTTAACAAATAAACAATAAAATTTAATATAACGAATAAATGTATAAATACAATAATATACAAGTAATCAAATAAAATACAATTAGTACGAGAAAGCAAATAAATAGAAGAATTATCGATATATCGGAGAAACTATATACCTCATAAACTAAACCTTAATTTTACATATCTCGTGGAGAGAGAGTTTACAATATATTCCTTTAACATACTACCTTAACACCTTTCTTCTGTATCTTGTATTCCACCTGTTGAACATGTATGGTCGTTAAGTGTTGTATGGCACTTAACACTTCATATGGTAGATCGTTGAATAGTTATGTCGGCTATGGCGATTTTGTCTTATAACGGCATCTACTTCTCCTCAACGTCTACCCCGAATGGCGGAAAATCTTCCACTTTTATACAGGTCGATTGCTAAACAGACAAACAAATCCTGTGTGCAACCGCTTATGATTCAATTTACTAGTCATCGTAAGAAAAGAAATCAAGTTCCTATCAAAATCGAAACTATTAACATCCGTTGTTCGAAAATTTGTCAAAGTTAAAAATATTTTTTAACTAAAGTTAAGTAGTTCTTTTTATCGCTAATTATTTTAAAAACGACTTCCACCCTAAATCCTGATTCTCATAAAATCGTATTGACGACGAAATTAAGCATATAAATGGAAGAATACTGCTATTAACTACTGAACAACAGTTGACGACAATACAGTTTTTTGCCACTGGAAGCTTCCAGAGGTTTACCAGTGATCTTATCAGAATTCATGTCTGTACTGCACGCAGGTATCTATCAAACTATCATTAAATAAATGTAAAAAGCATTATTTATATTGATAGAGGCGTTTATAATAAGAATGAGGTTTTGCTGTGAACAGACAGTCAAGAAAATAACGAAGAAAATTCGTTCTGTATGATCTCCCATGCGGCTTTTTTTATCCCTGGAATATGATTGTTGTAACCTATTTCCTCAACTGCAGAATAATTTTTTATAACTTCCTAGAGCAGCGCTGTCCAACTTATCATAGCCCGCGGGCCATATTTTCATCAGCAAACATTTCGGGGGCCAAGAAGGTTGATAAACCACATCACATTTGCATAGTGCTACGGTTCAGTAAGCACTAATTGGTCAGCGAGTCCGATGTTGACGCTTTAAAAAGGCGACAGTTCGACACACCGGATATACGTCACTCTCGTGTAAGTTCGACTTGGGAATTTTTTTGTTCAATAATAAATGTGAATTCTTCTTCCTGGAAAAAATAAGACATTCCCTGAAAATAAGACCTAGCGCATTTTTCAGAGCAAAAATTAATATAAGACACTGTCTTATTTTCGGGGAAACACGGTAGTAAAATAATATTAATATTAATAATAATAATTTAGTAACAAATTTATTCATAGTAAAATGTACTCGTGGGCCATAAAAATTATTTGGCGGGCCGTATACGGCCCGCCGGCCGCCAGTTGGACAGCGCTGTCCTAGAGGACACGTTAATATTTTTCGGAAAAATTCTAGTATGATTTAAACACGTTGTTCGTCGCCAATTTTCGGAGTCATAAACGAATGAAATGATTAGATAAACGACTCCTGAGAGAGGAGAGTAGCAGCGAAAAAAGTAAGAGCAAACATTTTGTTGCCGTGATTCGTTTAGACAGCGTTCAGAAATGGACGATCGTCGACTTTTCAACGCATTTTAAACGGCAGTCCAGCCAGCTAACGTCGTTTAATGAAAACTTTTCTTTTGCAATCGGCTGAGTGTGTACAGGTGAAACAGGTGAAAAATAAACACTGTTTCTTTTTATAAGTAAATTTCGTCAATGTAGAAAACCGGGAACTTGTAAAATAAAGTCCTACTAGAAAGATTATCCCAGTAGATACTTATGAAGTAAACTGTATAATAAGGAAACAAAGGTACGTGAATAAATAAAATTTTATCCACAATAAACTTTCGTAGAGAGGCGTACAAAAATTAATAATAAAGAAAATTCAGTTATACATGCACAATGTTCTTGTGCAAAAATTTATAAAATCACTTTTTATAAACCAATACTTCTTGGAAAATATACAATAATGATAACTTGTAGATTTGGAATTATTTATCAGTTTCATGATGAAAAAAAGTAATAAAGAATTCTTTTATATATATTTTTAGAAAAATATTTATATATAGTTGGAGATGTTAGATGAGCAGTGACTCGAACACGTAATTATAAACGTCTATAATCAAATTGTATATCATATTTTCCTTTCATTCAGTCAGTTTATTTTAATGCATAACAGCAAAAATAAACGATTTTATAACAAATTATGCACACAACCAGATAAGTAAGTCAAATACAAACAATTATCTGACGATTTTTTTATTCTCACACATGTTATATATAATATCTGCCATTTTGCCTGAAAAATACACAAAACATATATTTTCTATGTCTATGAATTCAAATCAAATAAAACTAAAATGGAAAAGGGATAAAATATCTTAAATAACAAAATCAAATATTAAAATTTGAAGTCTTCGTATTATAAACTGATAAATGGTTACGTTTTTTTTTAATTTTTCAAACGGTCGTTAAATCTCAAAACATGTAATTAATTTAAAATAAATTGAAAAAAACATTACCTTTCCTGATCCAACGTGACCGACAACAAGTAATAATTCTCCAGGTTGCATATTTAAAGATATCCCATTCAACGTTGGTTCCGTTCCCTTTTAAAACAACAAACAAGCAAAACTAATCTTAAACGTTATAAATCAAATATAATTACAGACTAAAAATTAATTCATGACAAATGTTAACAAATTTAAAGTTGGTTCGGTTGCCTTTTAAAACAACAAACAAGCAAAACTAATCTTAAACGTCATAAATCAAAAATAATTACAGACTAAAAATTAATTCATGACAAATGTTAACAAATTTAAAATTAATTATTTTTACAGTATATATCGTATGACAATTGAATGTACCATAACATGCTAATAACCTGACACCCTGTAAAATAAAGTCGATAAACCGGAATTTTTTAGTCACCGTTTATTAAAGATTTTTTTGTTATGTGAGTAGTAGCACCTACAAGTTGAGAATATCACGTAATAGGAATTTCTTCAATGAGAACTTTCTCCGAACTTGTTTGTGACACATGACTTTCCCAACAAATTCAAGTTACTGGTAACATAACGCCATACTAGATATCGAAAATACTATTATAAAGAAATTCGAATTATTTTAAGATTAAATTAATATCCAAAATAGACTTGCTATACATATCCGAATCTAAAGAACAACTTGTACTGGTGTCTGATTGTGCTGATCGTCAATGTTTCTGAACAATGCTTTGCCATCGAATTCATGCTTAGTACAACTACTGTATATAACTGACATTGAAAGAAGACTTATCATAGTAAAAGATTGACATATCGCCTATCATTTCAATCGGAGTGACGCTGCAATTAGACAATGCTCTTATGCATGACCAAGTCCAACGAAAAGCAGGCAACGGCTTGTCTAGAGAGACGATAGAATAGAACGATGGCACTGTTATTTGAGCAGCTGTAACAGCCCCAAAGCCATCACTATCGATTATATACAGTCGTTCGCAAAAGTTTACGATAACACGTTGAAAAAGCACATCTAATGGAATTTTATTGCTGAAGCATCTTGGTGATCGTACAAAAAAGGTTTCTTATCACATGGTCATCATGTGAAAAGGTATTTCTGAAGTGATCACTCTTTATTCGGTCAGTGATTNATATAAGACACTGTCTTATTTTCGGGGAAACACGGTAGTAAAATAATATTAATATTAATAATAATAATTTAGTAACAAATTTATTCATAGTAAAATGTACTCGTGGGCCATAAAAATTATTTGGCGGGCCGTATACGGCCCGCCGGCCGCCAGTTGGACAGCGCTGTCCTAGAGGACACGTTAATATTTTTCGGAAAAATTCTAGTATGATTTAAACACGTTGTTCGTCGCCAATTTTCGGAGTCATAAACGAATGAAATGATTAGATAAACGACTCCTGAGAGAGGAGAGTAGCAGCGAAAAAAGTAAGAGCAAACATTTTGTTGCCGTGATTCGTTTAGACAGCGTTCAGAAATGGACGATCGTCGACTTTTCAACGCATTTTAAACGGCAGTCCAGCCAGCTAACGTCGTTTAATGAAAACTTTTCTTTTGCAATCGGCTGAGTGTGTACAGGTGAAACAGGTGAAAAATAAACACTGTTTCTTTTTATAAGTAAATTTCGTCAATGTAGAAAACCGGGAACTTGTAAAATAAAGTCCTACTAGAAAGATTATCCCAGTAGATACTTATGAAGTAAACTGTATAATAAGGAAACAAAGGTACGTGAATAAATAAAATTTTATCCACAATAAACTTTCGTAGAGAGGCGTACAAAAATTAATAATAAAGAAAATTCAGTTATACATGCACAATGTTCTTGTGCAAAAATTTATAAAATCACTTTTTATAAACCAATACTTCTTGGAAAATATACAATAATGATAACTTGTAGATTTGGAATTATTTATCAGTTTCATGATGAAAAAAAGTAATAAAGAATTCTTTTATATATATTTTTAGAAAAATATTTATATATAGTTGGAGATGTTAGATGAGCAGTGACTCGAACACGTAATTATAAACGTCTATAATCAAATTGTATATCATATTTTCCTTTCATTCAGTCAGTTTATTTTAATGCATAACAGCAAAAATAAACGATTTTATAACAAATTATGCACACAACCAGATAAGTAAGTCAAATACAAACAATTATCTGACGATTTTTTTATTCTCACACATGTTATATATAATATCTGCCATTTTGCCTGAAAAATACACAAAACATATATTTTCTATGTCTATGAATTCAAATCAAATAAAACTAAAATGGAAAAGGGATAAAATATCTTAAATAACAAAATCAAATATTAAAATTTGAAGTCTTCGTATTATAAACTGATAAATGGTTACGTTTTTTTTTAATTTTTCAAACGGTCGTTAAATCTCAAAACATGTAATTAATTTAAAATAAATTGAAAAAAACATTACCTTTCCTGATCCAACGTGACCGACAACAAGTAATAATTCTCCAGGTTGCATATTTAAAGATATCCCATTCAACGTTGGTTCCGTTCCCTTTTAAAACAACAAACAAGCAAAACTAATCTTAAACGTTATAAATCAAATATAATTATATTTTAATAATTAAATGATGATAGTTGTTATCAAATTTAAAATTCATTAGTTTATTCTTTTTAAAATGAATTATTTGTACAGTATATATCGTACGTCAATTGAATGTCTCGTAAAATATTAATAACCTGACAACCTGTAAAATGAAGTCGATCATCTAAAATTTTTCACTCACCGTTTAACGAAGTATTTTTGAGTTATGTGAGTTGTAACACCAACAAGTTGAGAATATCACGTGATAGGAATTCCTTCAATGACAACATTCTCTGAACTTGTTTCTGACACGTGACCCTCCCAACAAATTTAAATTTGTGGTAATATAACGCAATACTAGGCAACGAGAATACTACTATAAAGAAATTCGAATTATTTTGTCAGGTATTGCAATTAAGATTCAAAATGGACTTCCTATTTATATCCGAATCTAAAGGACAAATAGGTGCAGGATTCTACGGTATATTTTGGTGAATAATTTCACTAATATTATTTATTTCTTACATAATTATCACAATTATAATTTGCATCATCGTTTAATTTACTAAAGTTACTTAAATTTAGTTTCTGCAAACTTTGTCTATCCTTATTTAAAACAACAATATATTTACAAATATATAAATACAAATTACATGAAATTTTATAGTTATACATAAGTTGTAACGCATGTAGTATTTTGTAATATTATCACAGTTTAAAAATTAATGAAAAGTATATAGCGTTACAAAGACCTGTTAACATAAAATACAAGCATTTTAGCTGGTATGCAAGGTAGTTTGAAATATTTTTCAAAACAAGCAAAATCCGTATTAGAAAAAATATTTTCTTGAAATGATTCTATGTGATGAGAAAGTAACATAAGAGTAACTTTCAAACATACCAATATCTTCTGGAATGACTTTCTGTGATAAAGGCTTTTTCAATTTTGAAGTTACACATGTAAATAATATCCAAAAAAGCTCCACGTGTCCAACTCATCGGTCGAGTGTCATTCCGATACTAGCTACCAGTATTCTGTTGTGTTATTCACTACTGGTAAATCAAAATGACTGTTGTTTTGGTTAAAATCTTAATGGATATCGCTAACTGTTTCATTAATTTAAAAGTATATAGATTCAAAAAACAAAACAACCAGCGGCAATGAATCATTTCACGTGAAAATGCTTCTATTAAGATACGTGTACAGTAGTTTAACATTATCGAATTAAACGAATCCCAAAAGTTATTGTTATCATTGTAAAACTTAAATTTAAAGCCAAGTCTTACTTTTTTCCATGCAGCGTTGAGACTATCCATGCGTATTTCATTTACGTTATCTTTTTCTTTTTCTGCAGTTTTGACAGCATTATTCTCTTTTTCATGAAGGAGTAGGAAACCCTAAATTAAAATTTCGAAAATGTTGTTTATATTAATGAAAGTTTGTACACGACAAAATACACGGTTAACGTGCTGAGCTACGACTCCTGGGATTTAAAATTACTTTAAAACAACTTTTACTAAATTTATATCAAAGAAATGCAGCACAAATTGACTTAATTTGTACAGTAGACCCCCCTATAACGCTTAGATACGTTCCACGCTAACCGAAAATTACGTTGTAGAAACGATTAAATACATGAGCCAATCGCAGCCCGATAGGTAGGAACTTTACGGACTAAGGCTGTTCGAAAGGTTTTCTTCTATAAAATTAACCGATTCTAGACTAATTCGACTCAACATTTCCAAAACACGTATAATTTTTTGGGAGTAATCCGTATAAACTATGCTATAAACAAAAAATTATAGGATTACTTACCGAGTGTGTACCGTTCGACTACGCCCGTTGTTCAAAGCTTGTCTTCGTCGCGGAACAGCACACGAAACGGCGGCCGCGATATCTGATAAATAATTTATCGCAGAAAGATAACTTGACCTTTGGAGACATCATTAATATAAATAATTTTTATGGCCGTTGAATAAGAAGTGTTTCTTTCACAAGAAATGTATAAAATTAGTGCTGTATTAGACTTACGGTACCTAATTTACATACTGTACAGACGATAATAAACTCAACTTACTAGCCTAAAATCTCCGTAGCGTGTTGCCAGGCGGCAGAAAGCATATATATAATTATAATAAAGTTACAATAAATTAAGTTAATATATAATTATATATACAGTACCTAATTTATATATAATTAATATATAATTATATGTACAGTACCTAATTTATATATAATTTATATATAATACTAAACAGACGATAGCAAACTCAATTTAGCCGCTCCGTAGCGTGGCGCATGGTCAGAGGTAAGTAGTTCGGCTGCTCATCCACTATTGGTCCAGACTCTATCAATCTTCTCGCGAAACGACGTTATAGGAGGTACGTTATACGAAAGTTTCTACAATTTTTTCGCTACGTTATAGGAATTGTCGTTATAGGAACGTACGTTATAGGGGGGTCGACTGTATTGTAAAATTGCTTCTGTCATACTAACACCAATTTTACGCTGCTGACAGGAAAGTTAGGGAAATCTAAAGCAGTTGCTACTGAAAGTCAAGCATTAAAGTACAAAGGTAGCTGTTTCTTACCTACAAGAAAACCACAATAATAATAACTAGAAATAATGGGAAAGTCAAAATTATGACCATCACTGAATAAATCGAGGTAGTGAAAAAATCTGTATTCCTCTGCTCCAAAATCAAACATAACGACGATTTCAGTCCTGAAATCAGTCTTGTATAGCTTTTGGATAAACCTCAATGATAAGCATAAACAGCTTTTAAAAGAGCAAAGACATCTCCTTCCAAATTAAATGCAAATAAGTTAACACGATTATTTTTCCTATGGCCATATATGACTGAATAACGTGCACTCTACAAAAGAGGACAAAAGAAAGATAGACGATTTCGATCTGTGGTGTCGGTGCATTATTTGTATTATGCATAGCGGGATCAGAACATGCATTTATAAAAAGCTAATGAAGGAACAAATGTGGTGTTCAAGACCGCTTTTTCGCATCCCATGTACAGCAAAGATCACCATTAAAACTGTCTTAGACAAAGTCCAATCGAAAATCTAATTAAATCCCAGATCATCGAGCAGAAATTATCCTTTTATAATCATACTAGCTGCAAGGACCCGCTTCGCTGAGTTTTTATTTGTATGTAATATAGTTTTTTAGAATCTATAGTAATCTAGAATCTAGCTGCAAGGACACGCAAAAACGCAAAAAACCGACTGTAAATCCTGCATGCCGCTTTATATTAACACTTTCTTTGTTGCTCAACATTTCCATTGTTAACACTTCCACTGTTAACACTCCATTGTTGACACTTCCATTGTTATACATCTTCAAAGCCGACCATTTTCAACCACATATGCAAGAATTAGGTCTCCCATTTCCAGACTAATTAGAGAATTTTTACTTCCAGTCAAACGAACTATTTTCAATTTGATGAATTTTCTGGAAGGTTTACAATCGTTCTATAATCGAACAGATTCGAATTAAATTAGAATTCGAATACAAATTCGAATTTAAAACGGTTCTAACATTTTAAAAATCGAAATAGAAAATCTTCAAAGTCAACCACTTTAAGCCCCATATCTCCAGCCCCCTTCTAGCTATCGAAACGCACCAAAAAAGGTTAAGAACCACTGCCATAGAGGAATACAGGCTGCAGCACAAGCGACTGGTAGGAATACCCATGCCAGTAAGGTATATGTAGTGTATTAAATCTAAGAGTGACCACACTTACATTTTTTGAAAATATTTATCATCGTAAGATGTAAGTGTGATATCGGTTCAGACGTTGCCGGTATTAACATGATTTGCGTTAGGCAGAGGCTCACGTTCGAAAATAAGCTACAGTCTCCTTTGGTTACCGGTGGCAAAAGCAGCGCAAGCCCAAGCATAGCTACTGCAATGCCTTCAACAGATGACAGGAACGTTTTCAGGCGAGTCTTCAGGCGAGAAATTCTAATCGCATAGCAGTGATAGTAATATAAATATATTCTGATCTAATGTTTCGAATAATTTTCGTGAATTTTCTTAAATATTGCGTGTTGCTTAGTTACAAACTTCTGCATACAATGCAAGCTGACATTTCTGTGTAACCTTATTTTCATTGTATTCAACTAATTTTATTTCTTGCTTATTTATGAAAATTCAGTTTTTAGAAACTTATTCGAATCTTGAAAATTATTAATTCTTAAAAGTATTCAATTTCAACCATAACTAATTACAGCAAAGACTTCTACTCATGAAAACTTATATCGATCATAATGTTATCTCAATGTGACATTCGTTAATGTGAGGAATTTCGAACTCATTCTCAGAATACAGTTTTCTACAATATATGGTGAAAATCGAAGATAAAACGATTTAATTTATAAGTGGAACTTTAATTTCAGGCATTATTCAGGCTAAATTAAATCTTCGTATCTAAAACCTTACTATGTTCGCGTGGAAAAGATTTCAGATTATTATATAATTTACCACAAAATGTTGTCTATTCAGTAGACTTTTCCTGCTTAAGTTTCGGAGTTATTCAAATTTTGTTATTGACAGGTGTCAACATTTGATATTTTCAATTAAAATAATATTACTAATTAAATATTGTCATTCTCGAATAATTTTTAAACTAGTATTGCAGTAGTTAAAATTCAAAGGAATAGATATGAAACTGTTTATTACCTGTATCCTTTTCAATGAAACCAATATTTCTGCAACAAAACCCATTGCCTGAGAAAATATACTAATAATGATGTTGAAAATGTACACGGAATAAAGCATTGTGACGAACACAATTTTGGCATTTAATTCTCCTCCATTTAAAAAAATTGCGACAAATGACAGAAGAGTAAATAATTTTGATATTGGATATGCACATATGTATGATATTCCACTTACATATAAGAACATTCGAATTGATTTCATTTCTTTCCTAAAATATAAACAATTAAAAAATAGTAATCACAGAACTCTGAAAATATTTATTTAAAGATTAACACATTAGAATATAGAAAATATATTAAAATCTGTGCAAACCGGAATCGAATGTTGTTCAATATTTTTATATAATTTGTCAAATTTATATTTCGAACAATGTGTTTTTTTATACGTGCTTTTCAGAAATTTTTTTATTTTTTGAATCATGTTTAATTTAGATTCCGTTTTACACAGGTTTTACTACATTTAATTGTACTTACAGCCTGATTTTTTCTATTAATGCAGCATATGGCAATTCCCAGGTGTACATTTTAATTAATTTCATATCAGCAATCATCTCGTTCAACAAATTCAATCTTTCGTCTGCCAAAATAGCTGCTTGTAATCTATTATGTAATTGAATTTATAAACATATATTCTCGAAAATTGTATAAAACTAAAATCTGAACGAATAGATTATATTTAATAATAATCTTATATTAAAAGTTAGACATTCATTTATCAAGTATTAATTAAAACAAAAGAGTCGTTTATGCTACTTGAATCCCTTTTTATACTATATGGAACTTACAGAGATTATTTCACGTATTTAAATTTATATAAGTAAAAGCTTTATCGATGTTTTTATAATTTCTAAGAACTTGTTTATTTTATTGAATTTATTTACTTCCTGCCGAAAATAGAACCGTTTAAATCGTAATTCTTCGATTGAAGAGCAGAGTGAAAAATAGAAAAGAAATATGTTTTGTATTGCAGTATCTCATACACGAAAAATAATCATATTGTACAAATTTCAGAACTAATATTCAAGCAGGGATGGGTCTAAAAAATTTAAAACTATCGCTTCAGTATCGCTAGTCTTAAATGTTTCTCGCCATTTTAAATTGTTTATTGTCACCAATTTTTTTTTCCTGATTGATGCAGATGCTTATAGCCTTATCAGTTTGGCGTCCGGAAAGCAAACTGTCACTTACAAGGAGAGGTTAGTAGTTCGTGTCTTCGATTCGAAGGGAACTTGATGAGCACGTAGCCTTAAACCAAACAGTTTTTTCTACGTGCTTATTTTCAAATACAGTGGTAAAGCGATACTGGAAGTGTAACGAACATGAGCGCGTAAGAATATTGATGATAATATTAACAATTTAAAGAACAAAACAATGCGACTACGCTACGCCATTCTCATACCACCTGTCTTTTTTGTCCATTTTCACTAACGTCTGAAGCTTATTCGCTTGTAACGACAGCCCCTCGTTAGCAATACAAATATTTTAAAATAATTTTTTAATAAATAATTTCTAATACCACATTTTATCGCAATGTTTAAATAGTATTTCACAGGTTTTGTGATTTTTTTTTGTTTAATTGTCGAAACTTTGTCTTATTCTTGTTGTTTTGTTTGGTTCAATGAATCTAAGCATTGAAATTCATAAATACTTGTTACAACTATTAAAATAGAATGTTTATACAGGCGCAGGCGAGGCTGTGTGCGGCATTTTGGGAGACGTTACAAGTTTAATAGGCATGGAGAGAAGGTTGTCAAGTCAGGAGGGAAGGGAAGAGGAGTGGGAAGTACTAAAGGTGCCTGTATACACAAGATACAACCTATCTATTTAACAGACTGAAGAGGGGCGAATGGACGAAACGCGTATCTGTATGGATTAAAAGTGGATGATAAAATTATTTGCCAAGTGTCAATAAATTCACCAAGTCGTTACAAAGGTTCTGTGATGTCAAAAATTTTGTTTTAGTCTACTGAAAGACATCGAAATGAAAAAACTCATCCCAAAAATTTTTCCAAACTTTCTGTTAGTCGATAAATAATCTTTACTCTGGAATGGGTTGCATTGTACAAAACTATGTTCGGTTTTCAACGTCACATCATACTTTACTGCCAGAACTTGCTCAGTGACGCCGTGAAATCGCTAGGTGTATAATGCACAAGATTCCCATTGTACGGAAGCTCGAGTATTTCCTGCTTTTCTTGAAGTATAATTAGTGATTCAGATTTACGCTAAATGTCGATAGAAACAAACTCGGAATTTTATCGTCACGTACTATCGCCAGTATTATATTTTTATCGCCATTTTAATAAAAATAGCACTAAGCAGCGATTTTGGCGCTATGAAGCCCGAACCATGCTTATTATATTATTTTACAAGTCTAAAAAATTAATAAAAAAAATAAAACTAAACAACGAAACGTATTTTAATATACACAACGGGCTATTTATCTACCTTCTCAGCAATACCAGCTATTTAATAATAAACCACACAAACCTGATTTGTATTTGCCGAGGTATGGGTTTTAATAATCCATAAACAGTTTTATGGTCTGGAGTTTTTAGGATTTAGTAGTTCAAACTCAGTGAAAGTTGTTATAATTTTTGTTTTGTTTTTTGTTGTTGTTTTTTTTCATTGTTAAATTCAAACGCGATTTTCGATTACATTTTATCATATATTTATTTTAATTTACGTTTTTCATGTTATTGTTAAGTTGCAACAAGTTTTTGATATTATTCATAACTATTTATTATACACATACCTTGCTAAAAGTTCAAATTCAAAAGAATTTCGAAGTATTGGTTCCATTGGAACGAACAACGTTAAAGCCTGAAGATGGCCTACACAAATTGGCCAAAAACGTTTGCATAAAGAAAATAACTCGGCAAATACAAATCAGGTGTGTGTGATTTATTATTAAATACACGACCGGCATTGTAATTTAAGTAAGAAGAAACAGTTGTATTGCCTTTTAAAGTTTTTCTATGTTACATAGTTTTAATTTATGTTTTTTTTTATCCTGGTATTCATACTCAGCACGAAAACTGCAAATTAAACAACAACTTATTTGCTGAGAAAAAACTTAATCTTTTACGAACGTTTTTGAACATTAAAAAAAATTTTCAAACAAATCTAAGAACGTACTATTAATTGAAATTAAATGCACGCGTTTCGAAAACAAATAGTTGTAACTAAATAAACAAATTTCAAAAAATATAAATAAATAAATTACTCATCACACTGTAATTTTAGTTTTAAACGTTAACAATCTTCACCTTCTAACGTTTAAGCATTTATCTGTTATCTGCAAAGTTTCTATCTGTATCGCAGATATATCTTTTCTTATGTTCTTATGGTCTTATGATCATATCTTTTCTTATGATGTTTTTCATTCGATATCCTATACATTTCTTACTAATTCTATAGAATCTTTCCTGTTCATCCGTTTTTTTTTTATTTTGTCTTCGTAATTACGTAAAAGAATGCGCATCGTGGGTTCTCTCTTAAACTAGTGTGAGTTAATCTTACAAAGGTTAGAGAAAAATGTCCTGTGAATTACATTGTACTATATAAAAGATATGCTAATGAAGTTCAGAAATCAGATAAACATTCACGGAATTCAACATTTTTTCAGCAAGGTCAATGTCATTCTATATACGTGAAATTTAGGGCCTTAAGATCAGAATGCTTAACCTTAGCCATATTACAATTTCCAATATCAGGTAATATAGCATATATATCAATAAATATTTAACATTTTATCGATTTTAAATACATCTATTTCACCCTCATTAACTAATGACTATTATATACAGAATGATTTCTTCATTTTATTTACGGCTACTTTAGAATTATATAATTTAGAAAAATAATTACCTCAATTTTGAATATAGTTTACTCAAAGCAAATTGTATAGGAACGAAGAGAAATACTACCAGATATCCCATTAAAATAGTCCATCCATAATATTGCCATAACATCAGTATCGAAAAAATGATGAAGAAAGGCGATGTAAATATATATGCAACGGAGTAAACTTTCTGTAATAAATGTAATAATTTGATTAAGATTAACTTAAATTTAAAATAATCATTTTGGAGATCAGAAATAAATCATGAGCATATTAATTAAGTATGAAATAACTAGTTCTATTTTTAAACTAGCAGACCCCGCCACGCGTTGTTGTGGCTCAAAATGTATCTATTATAAATGTATAACACTTCCCCCGTGGGAGAAAATTTTTTGGAAAAATTTTATTTTTAGTGTACATTCTTTTGACGTACCTTATTAAAACACAATCAAAAACGCAAAGAAACGCATCTAAAATAGTATAATAGAAGCAGAGTTCTTTACCATAAGCCTTTATCCTAACCATCTCCCTTCAGTGGAGGGAATTTCGACACATATATTATATAAAAACAAGTGCGTATTCAAATGCAGCATTGTATCAAAATGTTAAAGAAATCGGTAGGAAGAAACGAACATTACATTTTTATTTCTATAGATAGATAGAAGATGATCTCGTTTAGTTCATTTTCACAGAAGAGCATAATGCCTCACAGAAAAGCGAACTTAGGGCGTCGTACTTGTAGCGCCATCTGTTGGACATAAAAGCCTTAACCTAGATTATATTTTTTTAATTTATATGAATGTTTATCAAAATAATATACAGCCTATGTCCACTCTGAGGTTCGATTCTAAATATTGGTGAAAAAATTTTTGAAATCGGATGAGTAGTTTTGGAGATTACCTGCTGCAAAGAAACTTACATACTTACATACATACATTACATCTTTATAATATTAGTATAGATAGAATAATGGTATTTCTGTCAATGACAGTACCTTTACCAAAATCTTGTATTATACTGAAAATAGCAAATTTTTTAATTTAACTTTTTCTAAAAACTTATATAAGTTATAATTATTCTAAATGGGGTAAGTATTACTGTATATTTTGTATCTGCGTTTTTTTCATTTTCTGACGTTTATTTTCACTGTTTCATCAGTGTAAAAATTACAGTGAGCATGGATACCTCTGCAATGAAAAGTATCTAAAATATTTAAATAAAAAGCAAAATCTAAATTTAACTTTAGAATTTATTTTGTTCTTTTAAAATAATTTTCTCTGATAGTACTAAAAATATCAACGTTTTTCTGTAAAGTCGTTTTCTCGAAAAATCCCTTCTGGACTTGCAGCGAATTCCGTTTCGTGGCATCGCTAGTCTAAAACGGTCACAAATTACAAAAAAAATAAAGCACCCACATTTGTACAAGACAAGTGTTCCTCGATAAGCCAATAGTTGACAGAATAAAATGTTTGATAGATAAACAATACAGCGAAAGATTTTTCTTTTTTTACATTTCCTCTGATGAATAGTTTTATCTGATTATTTGACACCTGTGAAAGAAGTGTTATCTGTAAGATATGTTACAGGAAAAATTCAACAAAAAACATTTCTTTCGTTGAATTTGTTAAAATGAAATAATTTTCTCTCGTCTTGGAGCAAAAATTATAAAATATTAATTAAGATCGTCGAAATAAAAACTAGCCCGAATTCTCACAATAGCATACTTTTGTTAACTATTGGATGCTAACCCTAGTTTTATATTAGTACTTTATTTTTTATAGCATGGATACATGTAACACAAGAGCTTTTCGGAACGTAACTACCATGTTATATGACAGATACCTGTATTTAAGTTTATGTTGTATTTTATGTTTTACAATATTAAAATATTCCGGTAATTCTTTCTTTTGAGCCAAACAGTGGGTACCAGTGGGAAATATATCAGAATTGTAACATGCTTTTAATTAAAGTTTGCAAACATTGATTTGTGACGTTTTCTGTATCTTTCCGTGCTTGCAGCCAGGTCGCTACTTATCTCATAGCCGTTCGCCTCTCTTTCAGTATTTTTCACAATGGTCAGATGGAATAATTTATGCAATCTTCATAATGCATTTTCAACATGTCTGCAATGAACTGCGATCGTTTTTATGGTTTCTTGGAAAAAATTAGGCCACAGAGTTCAATTTCTCTAAAGTGTACAGTTTTAAGAGATGACCTAACAGTACAGTTAACAAAGCTGTGTGAAAAAATAAAAAAGTTCTTTCAATTCTGCTATTTTTAACATGAAATTAATTAAGACAAACTATTACCTTTTCTTTACGATTCTACACCAGACTGACCAGGACATCTGTTAAAAAAGATATTTATCTCCACGCGAACATTATATAAACTCTCTTTTTATCGCGACCACTCAGTTAAATATGTAGGTTAATCCTGATATGTAACCTGTAACCTTTCTCTTTGAAGTTATTAAACGGTTATTTGTTATTAATCCTAGAGCCTGAGTGTAGTAGTTCCAGTGCACAGTGTTGAAATTGTGTATATCCTTAAATTTAATAAAAATATCTTATAAAAGAAAAAGTTTCTTTAAACTTAAAAGAAAACCGCTGTAACACAGTTACCAACCAAAGGAAGTTCAATTTTCTTTTTCCTACACCTTATCTCAAAAATTGTATTCACCATACTGAAGTTTAATGGAAGTGTAGTAGATAATAAAAATGAAATTAATTATCTAGACATTACTCTATACCGGGAAAAAAACACTCAATATAAAACCTTACAAAAAACGCAGCAATGTAAATAAAATTCTTAATTATAAATCGTATAGTACTATAACAATAAAAATAAATACTTTTATAACAGCACATTCAAACATATAAAACAGAACATCTAAGGCAGAAGAAGAAGAAGAGCAATAAATAAGTTAATAAAAACCTTTATCTTGAACGACTATCCAAATAGATTTCTAAAGAAAGTGGACAACTGCATACATAAAAAACAGATTCAATGTTAAATATAAAAACGAGAATACTACATATACGTAATTCCCCTATATTAAGGAAACCATTTAAAAATATATAGAAAAGTTTTCAGAATGCATGATGTTACACTAGCAGCCAAATTAAAAAATAAAATTAAAAACAATATTAATACCAATAAGATTAAAAATAACGAAATACTAAACCAAACAAATTTCATACACGAGATAAAATGTACATGTAAAAATCTAGCAATATACATTGACAAAACAGGTAGGCAACTTAGAACCAGAATAAAAGAACGTGAAGCAGCAATTAGACTTAATTATCACCAGTCACCATGGATAGATCACTGTGACAAATTTGGATTCACAATCAATGAAAAAAGTGTAAAAACAATCCACAGGGAAAAAACAAATATGTACAAAAATTCAAAGAGAACTTCGCAATTGTTAATAAAAACAAAACCATAAACCTAAATAATGACATAGAAGTTGACAACGTTTTGGAGGAAAGGGGAGGGGGCCAAAGAGCAAGGAAAATGGAAAGAATGAAAGACAGTAAAAAATGCCTAAGGGGATACAACATCAACACCGCGTAGCTGTATGTCTAAACATATAACAGGGTAGTCCACAATTATGTAAATATATTCAAATAACGAAAAATGTAATAATTGTTGTAAATTGTAAATTTGTAACTTTACCATGATAATAAATGTAGTAATTGGATTTCTACCAATTTATAAAAATGTAATACCTGATGAGAGGTGCAAGATACACAAAATATTGCACCTGAAAAGCATAGTGAATAAAGAATAACGAAGATAACACTCAGAAGTTTTTGTCTCTGATAAAATGTGGTTCAAACAAAAAATCGTCAGTTAACTTCTTTGGATCTAACCTATGATGTTTCATCATTTTTTTAGAATAATTTTTTAAAAAACTGACATTCAAATTAATTTTTTTTAATTTTAGGTACAGGATAATAAATTGCCAATTATATGAACTCTTATTTGACTAGATCCATATACATGTAAAAAATAAAAGATAGTCGAAAATGTTAGTGTGCTGGAATGATTGCATAAATCATTCCAGCACACTAAGGTTTCTGCAGGTTTTACAATCAACCTGAGCAGCTATAGATACATGGAATTATCTTTAGACTAAATAAGGCATACCTAATTCTGAGACTAACAGCAGTATCCACTATATAGTCTGCAATATTCGAAAACAATACAAGTTAGGAATTTAGCGAAAAAGTAGAAAAATATACGGAAAGCCTGCATTTTCCAATAATTCTGACTTTTGATTTGCCATAATCTAAGAGAATAAATTTAAATTAAGACTAAAAAAATAGAACACTGAATACGAACGATTCTGAAAAGTACGTTATACAGAAATTTCTTATTGAATCATGCATCAAATAAAATATTTTATTCTTCTGTTAATAAATAAAGCCACATAAAAACATTAATACAGTAAAAATATTATATTATCTGATTATATGAGTAAAGCGCATCAAAGCATGATTGTCATCAAACCGATTTCTCGTTTACATAGAAGATAATTCTTACAAACTGTTTCTATTGAATTTCATTTTGAAATGATCATTGTTGCTTTAAAAGAGATCCGACTAAAGCCATGCTTCATTGCGCTTTCCTCTTGTCAGAATTACCTTTATTTATTATTCTAAAGTTGTTAATACTGATTCAGCCATTATAATATATACACAAAATATATCGGTTTACGAATGAACATTAAATGTATTATTGTTTAGAAAATTATTTTCAACTTACATTCTGGAATTTGCCAACATCATTTGCTAGAAGATTTACCATTTGTCCCACATTTGATTTTTCCAGAGAAGAAGAACTTAACCTAATTGCCTGCAAACGAAGGTTTCATATAAAATAAATATTTTCTGAAAATTATATAAGATATTATATATAATTTAAAAAATACAATTATAATTATCAGTAAATTCTGTAAAAAAACTAATAAATTGATTTTTCTAATACTTGTTCACTCACGCAATTTGACAAAATTAATTTTATTATGCAAGAATATATTTAAATAATGGATTAAATTTAGAAGTTGATATATATTTTATTAAGATATTTGTTTCTATAAATTTGGATTTTTAAAATAACTCAACTTTTCAAACTTAAAACAATTTTTATTGTTAAAAAATTGTTATAAAACTAAATAAATTGCAATCAGTACATTTTCTAACTAATTTGTTTCTCATTCCTTGTATATCTACAGCAAATTTCAGGCACTTAATACAAGATTTTGTATATTTTCTGTCTTTAGTTCTTCGACATAGAAAGCATTTGCTTTTTAAGAAGAAAATGGTCATTTTACAGCTAATTACTAACGTGAGAGCAGTGAATTACGTAAAAAAATTTATTTGAAAAGAACGTTAAATAAATGAAGAAAATCACGAAAAATTACTTTAGAAATTTCGAAAATATTTACGGTGATAAGGCAACAGTTTTTTAACCTGTAACTATTGTATAAGATGAGACAGAGAAACGAAAGATTATAAAGACTCAATATTTTAAGAAGATGGTTTATATAAAAAAGTACAGGTGTATCACGTTAAAAGTAATTTAATGCATTATATTTCTAGTGAACTACATGAGTAGTATGAATTCGATACACGTTGGGGTATAAAAAATTAATTATAATAAAAAATATATATATAACACAATTTAAAATATTTTTTTTTTTTAAATTTTTTTTTCCTTGTATTACAACTTTTTTTCGAATTATATCGAAACAGTGTAGATTATATTTAATTTGTATAATAATTTTAATAATACAACTTTTTTTTAAAAAAAAATTTGAAACTCGTCTCTTGTAATACAAAATTCATACCTTGAAGTAACTTCTGTAAACCCCGTGCTACTTTCTATGTTTTCGAACATCTTGCCTCATTCTCAGTTCTAACACAGAGCATGGAAGTATATTTTTTTTATCTGGAGATTATATACGATTTAAGTTTTAAAAAAACGATTTGTTTTTAAAAAAAATATGATTTGGTGTTAGTGTCTAACGAAGATGCGATTGATATAGGCAAACGAATTATGGTAAATATATATTTTTAAAATAACAGAATTATTAGACCACGTTTTTTTTAAAAAACCTATTTTGTTAATTTTACTGATCTCTGTAGATAATATACAACATGTTGCTAGTTTTTTCAAAAAAAGAAAATATGATTGGTTCTTATAAGATTTAACTATTTTTTTTTAAATTGATAAAATTTTTATTTTCATCAAATTTTATTTAAGTTTTTTCATTATATCATCAATGATGTTACGAATATCGCTAGTATAGAAAAACAAAAAACTGTTATAATATATTTTTCTTAATGGAATTATTTAGGAGAAATCTTTTACCCTAAAACGGTCCCCAAAGTAAGTTGTTGGACTGCATTCTTTACTTAAAACTGGCCTCTCGAAGTAAACTGCATTCCATCATCTATTCAATATTTTGTTCAGAACTTACGTTTTTGTTTTTCTTTATCGTGATATATAATTCCGATTTTGTAGATAGTACAATTAATTTCTAGATTTTTTTTTAAAAAACAATTCACTCTTTTAACTTTTTTTATTTCTTTAAAAAATCGATATGTTACAAATTTTAATCTTCTTCTTCTTCATCGAATTTATTTAATTTTTCCATTATATCATCAACAATGTTACAAATATCCTGAAGTATGTAGACTAACAAACTGTGAGAGTTTTCAGCGATATATTTATGATCTAGTTTCTGATATTTAATAATATAACACCAGAAAAGATGGTATTTAAAATCGAGAATAAAATCTTCGTTCAGTATTTGATAACGAGAAACCAAATCCTAGTGGAGAAAATTTTGTAATTCCCGCAGAGTATCGGTATTTAATAGCTTATATTTTAAAACTATTCTCATATTTAATTTATCAATATATTTCTTAATAAAATTATCAGAAAGAAGTTAAAATTTTGCTATTTTATTCCAATTAAGATAGTCCAAAATCTTATCCATGAATTCTTGTGTAATATTTAGTGTTCAGAAATTATATTTCATTTAGCGTGTTTAATATGTTTTTCGATAAACGTAGTAGTAAATATATAATTTCACTATATTAGTTCTCAGTATAAATTATCAGCGAATTCGGAAATGAAGTCTCGGCTTAAATCAGTTTTTTGGCTTATAATCTCCCATTTAATATAGTTTTTAAAACGTTTAATATTATTTTCGTCTATCGGTAAACTCGAAAACTTTTCCCATTCGAGTGGTGTAATATGTTTGAATTCTATAAAAAAAACTCGGTATTAGGATATAGTTTTACTTTTTATATAAATAAGCAATGTAATTGGTTACAACATTTTTTTAAAAAGTAGGATTACAGTAAAAACAACCATATTTTATAAAATTATTATTACATAACATCATCATTATCTGGTTAGTCAATACAAAAAATTTACAAACATATTTCTTATTATTTGATAATTTAAATAATCCAGCTTTATTTACAGCTTGTTTTAAGCAAACGATATGTTTTACTCGAAACACCATGTATTAAACAAGTTTTTGAATTTCGTTTCCTCTTGTACAATAATATGTAACCGTATTGGGGGGGAGATGATATCAGAGAATCTGGAAGAATTTAAATATGAAAAGTATAATGTCCGCACGATATCACTTCTATACCGTTATCAGAAATAAATTTTTTGTCGTAAAACGGGGAGAGTGATATTTTATTCTGAAGATATGTTGTTACAAAATGGTTTTTACTTTTAATACCATACTGCTGATGTCTTAATAGCTCCGTATTAAAAAGAACTTCTTTATATTTCTTCTGGTTAAAAGTTTTAACGACAGATTTTTTAATTCCTTTAGCTGTTTTTTTATTTTGATTATTGAAAATATACGAATACATTTTCGGTTTTAATGAACAGAATTCTATTATAGGTTTAGACGCGGTCTCGTCTTTAAATTATCCAAGCTTATTTTTATTTGTTACATCAAATAATTCATGCGTGTTAGGGTAGTTGCTGAAATCAAAAATATCTGGAAATGATTTAAAGTCGTTATATAAATTATTCGTATAAATTTGAAGTGTTAGTGAATCAGTATCTGTATATAACAAATTCACATTTTCACCATATTTATTTTTAAATATTTTATAAAATATTTGATACATATGCAATTTACTTAATTCTAATACACAAAATCCTATATAAATCGGTTTATCCAAACATAAGTTAATTTTTTTCATTTTAAAAATCGTGAGATTATCATTAATAATTTGGAAATTTTCGAGAGCTGAGTGAGATAAATACTTTCGACATTGATTTTCAGTCATGGCTGTTTTTAAATTTAAACGCTTTCTCACATTCTGACAGGTTTTACCGAAAAAACTGTTGTTCATTAACTTGAAAAAACTTTTATCGAAATCATTCGTTGATTCCTGCCGTTTTTTATTATTAAACAATACATAATCTCTAAGCCATGGTTCTTGATTAAATGCAAGCACTCGATGAATTTTAGTTAATATTAAACCCTCTTCTAAATAAAATCATAAATTTCTATAATGAATTACATAATTTTGTTTATCAAACAAAGTCGGAATTAATTTCTTTTTATTATTATTATATTTTAAATTTAATTTAGTTAATACCAATTTTTTATAATTTGATAATAAATTAAATGGAATACTGGTGTGATCAGGAGCTAATGGCAAGTCGTTATGGCAAGAATGAACATTTGGTGGATAATTTAAATCAACTTCTAAAATATAGCCTATATTATTCTTATCAGGAATATTACAAATGTCTAAAGCATTTATCTCATCCTCGGATAACCATCTGAAATTATTTACAGGTAAATAAGAACTCATCAGAAATCCGTAGAGATTAATAGCATCTATCGAAATAACATAGTTATGACGTTGATTTTTATCATAGGTTTTTGGAATTAGAGGATTATTTGCTTTCGCGAATCTTTTTTAGTTAGGCTAATTCCACCGCAAATTCCTTGTTCAATAAAAAGATACATATTAATGAATAAACAAATATTAATATTTTTAAATAATTCGAGTTGAATTTTTGTCATTTTTAATCCACAATTCCATGTTAAGTCTGGAGCTGTTATAAAATATACTGGTTTTAAATTATAGTATTATAAACTAAATTTTCTAAAATTTTGGAATATATCAGCTAGTAATAGTTTCAACATATTGATATAATTTTAAATATTGTTTAAAATTTTTACAACGAAATTTTTTCCAAACCAATTTTGCATGATTATAATCATCATTGCTAATATTTTCTCCAGATAATTCGTTATAAAAATATTTTTGCGCGGGTAGACATTTCTCGTATAAAATATCCTCATTTTTAAAATAAAAATACAGGAAAATTCCTTTTCTTTTTAATAAATTGTTATTTCTGTTATTATAGAAAAATTGATTAAAAATAGAAAAATTATAATTTGCATTTTTTAAATTTTCTGTTAAAGTAGTTAGCGAGGAGTTTAAAAATTGATAACTATCTATAAATTTGAAATGATCTAAAGTAAACGTTCTAAATTTTTTCGAATTTACTGGGATAATCTGAATTCTGGAAAACAGTTTAGGAGGAATATTTTTGAAAATCAGATGGGAGACATAACGTGTAAAATTATGTAGTATAATAGGAATAAATTTTTTGAATCTATAATTTAAATTACAATTGTTATTAGCTATCCCGCGATAATCATCTGTTAAGTGATTGTGATCTCTTACTCTGATATCATCATAATTAAACCCCTTCTTACATATATGACACTGATGTTTGTAATTATTGGGAATAGTATCTACATTCATTTCTACATAACTATTAATTTTAATTAA